TTCAAATCCCTCCTGACATATTCATACCGACGTGGTTTGTCTTTCTTTGTCTTTGTCTTTGTCTTCCTTCCTTCCTTCCTTCCTTCCTTCCTTCCTTCCTTCCTTCCTGCCTACAGCACCTGGTCTTCCTAGGTGGTCTCCCATCCAAGTACTAACCAGGCCTGATCCTGCTTAGCTTCCGAGATCAGACAGGATCGGGGCGGCATGGCTGTAGACCCCCGACATGATTTCTTAAGTAAGCGTTTTACGCTAGGGTCTGTGAGAAGCGTGAGGCCCCCTGCCCGCCTCTCATGAGCTTCCAGATCGCTGAGCACTGAGGGGCAGAGCCGAAATAGCGCCTGTGTATGAAGCCCTGAAAGCAGCCTTATAGCGGAGAGCCGGGGAAGGCTGCCTCGGCCGTGATCACATATTGAAGGCAGATTTTTACAAAGTAAACACATCTTAGCAGGGTCAGAATCTTCGCGTGACATTCAGATGTGCCATCGGCATAGCATTTTTTGTTTTCCTGGACTCTTCGCAGCTTGCTGGGGAGCTGGGGTTTCCACTGACCCCGAGTGGGAGGGAAACATACACGAGCCAATTAGAAGTATTTCCGCCTCTGCCTATTTCAAGTTTTCCTCTCTTTTGGATAAATGTTTCTCATGCAATCACTTTGGTGATTTATTGCTTCTTAAAGGTCCCAGATGGTGTCTGGATACAAGGAAGGCCATATGTCCTCTGGTCTATGGGACAGGGGCCAGCGGGACCTCGTGCTGTCCCCCGGGTTCTGGCTGGTCTCCAGGAGTCGTGACTGGCGTATAGCGTGGTCTGTTCTCCGGGTACCGTCAGGGTCTAGTGGACCTCCCCGGGCCGACCCAGGCCCACTCAGTGGGTGCCGACGTGTCACCACACAGTCACCATGGCCTCGGCAGGCGGGCTGACCGCCCTTTCCTCCCTGCCCTCCGCGACACAGTGTGACGGCAGAGGGGGCGCTGGGGGGTGTCGCTCGCCTTCTGAGTTCTCTGCTCCAGAGTCCCCGGTCCTCTGCGGGACATTCGTCCTCCCTGCTTCGTCTTTCTCCTGGGGTTGGAAACCATGGCTTCTGCTCCCCCGCACTGGTCGACCTCGAGGTGGGGAAGGGGTTCCAATGTCTGACCCTTGCTCTTTATTTCCCTCCTCCCTCCTTCTCTCGGTCGCCAGAGCATCTCCACGTCCTCCCCCGGCGTTCGGGAAGTTCCCTCGTGACGGCCTGAGTTCCCGCGGCCTGTGACCTATAACACTGGCTTCGATTACAATATGCAGAGGGAATTTGTGAATTCAAAGATTTCTTTTGTAACGAAGCCTGACTCAGGGTTATTATTCCTTGATTGATGTAGAACTTCCCCTGACAGCAGAGCGATGGCTTCATTGTGGTGATTGAGGTCCGTCTGGCTTCTGGAAGCCCCGAAGCCCTCCGATGCCGAGGGCAGGAGGTGCCGGGGGATCATTATTTGAGTGGAGCAAAAAAAAATCAGTTTACTATTTTAATGAATATGAAGCCCATTACATATATAACCCGAATAAAGAGTAGGGAGTGCAAAGCTCAGGTTGTTCCCCGACTTCCCATGAAGTCAGTGGCCCCAAAGGACCCCCCCTGCCTACCCTGCACCCCCGCCACCTCCCTGGCTGGAAAAAACTCACTCGTGACCAGCCCTCTCTGCAAGTGGCTGGGGAGGAGGTGCTCATTCATTAAGGTCATTTCCCAGCTTTTTGGTCCACTTATTCACTACTCAACTTGGATCCGAAAGCCTCTTGGCTGCTTTTGAAAATCAAAATTATGCTCAAATTTCAAAGCTGTGTCCTCACTGAGAAGAACCCAAGTAATGTGCCAGAAGCTTCAAGACAGGTCCCCCAAACAAGCTCCTGAAACCGTTTAAGCAACCGAAGAAATGTCAGTTCTCCCACGAGGACTCTCTGAAGGGGGACGCGCTCATCTGGATACGTCCCCTAGGGAAAGCATCATCTCTGCTGTGACAATGCATTCGCACCTTCCGTCGTCGCTGGCAGGCATCCGAGAGCCCGCGTCCGCCCCGCATCTCCTCGGAGCTCTGCGCTTGCCACGGGAGCCAGGTGGGGCCTGTGAAATGTCGGGAGTGAAGCAGATGAAGAGCAAATTAAACTTTCCTCCAGCTGGGAAGCCTTATTTGATGTCAGTAGCTGAGGGGCATTTTGTTTCCGTGCCTGGAATTATAAAGTCTAAGGAGCGTTTTGGGTGGTCCGAGAGCAAGAACATCCCTATTGGAAGAGGCAGGTGATGCCCAGCAGTGAAGGCCGTGCGGTTGCTCTGGTCTCTGAGAGGCCACCTGCCTCACAGAGGGCTGCTGAATGGTCACCCCGTTCATTCCCCAGAGGCCCGTATCCCTGTCGGTCCCCTCCTGTTATCTCCCTCTGCCCAGCGCTTCGGAGGCAAAGGGCCCGTGATCTGGGTGGAGGTGGACTCTGTCAGCTTCACGCTTACTTGTCCTGGTTGGGCTCCACCTCCCCACATGCCAGGGGGATTCCGGTGCAAACACATGTCGGGTCCTGCTGGGGATTTGCCCAAGAACAAAATACGGCTCATTCATTCATTTAGTGACTCGCTTATTTATTATTATTCACCAAACATTCAAGGAGCCCCTACTATGTGTCAGCCATCTGCTGTGGATGCCAAGATGAAAGGAGCCACATCCTTGCTCTGCGGGAGGAGAGTGGAGAAGAACAGGGGAGAAAGAGTCACACTCAAGCGAAGCCAGGTGCTCTGGGGAGGGAGGGGTCTGGGAGTCCGCCAAGCAGCTGATGCACGACGGAGCTTCGAGTCCAGTCCAGCTGGTGGCCACGATCTGCAGCAGCTTGAGATCAGTGCACAGAGAAGTATAACTAAGGTCTTTAGGAAACTCAAGGAGAGGAGGTGACTTGTAGTTGGAGAGTGGGAGGCATCAGGGAAGGCTTCGTGGAGGAGGCGAGAGGTTCACCGGGCGGTGCCGCAGTGAGTACTTTGCAAGCAGAGGGGACAAATGAACAAACGCGTGGCCGTGGAAGGACCGGGGCCTGCTTCGTGCATATCCGAGTTTGACTGGAGGTTAGAGTCTCGGTGGGAATGGAATGGGGAAAGCCTGAGATGCGGGGTGGGGGTTTGCTGTAAAGGCCTCGACGCCCTGTTAGTTTGCATTTTGCTCTTAAGCAGCGGAGGAAGTTGAAGGTTTCTGAGCAGAGGAACGCCATATGGGATCACAGGTGTTAACGGGAAGGCCGGAGGGAGGGGAGGACACGCTTTGTCATTTTATTCACTCTTTGGAAGTTGCCTTTTAATGAGATACTGCCCCGCTCGAGTCTTCTTTAACGAGAAGCAATAAAACCTATGACTGCCCGCACCACCCCTACCGCCCTCGGCTGCCACCGGGAGGGTGGCCTCTGTCTATGGTGTGAGAGGGGGTGGGAGGGGTTGCTGTGTGTGTGTGTGTGTGTGTGTGTGTGTGTGGTGTGAGAGCGGGTGGGAGGGGTTGCCGTGCGTGCGTGCGTGCGTGTGTGTGTGTGTGTGTGTATGCATGTGCACATGCGTGAGAGAGAGAGAGAGAGAGAGAGAAAGAGAGAGAGAGGATATGAGGTTGGTTGGGGAAAGGAATTAATCTGGGGACCAACATGGACCTCTCGGTTGGGAGAGAGAAGGGCAGATCGAGCAAAGGGCTTTCCAGGATGACCTGGCGATGGAGCCCTTCTGAGCAGATGACAGGTCCTCAGAGGTGGGTCCCGGGCCCCAGTTTACTTCCCGCTTGCTCAGGCAACCTGAGTGTTCACAGCCTGGAGTGTGTAAGTGATGCCGGCCATAGCGTTGAAACGTGGAGCTAGACACGACCCTCGCTGGGTCTCTGAAAGGTGGAAGGGGCTTCCGTCTGAAGATACAGTGAGAGATTCAGATTCTTCGACACAGGAAAGGCGAAGCCTGAGACACACACGCAGGATTTTGGAGCCATTTGGACTGAACGAATGGGAGAGAGAAACCTATTCATCAAACCACAGACTCCTGGGGGTAGGGCTCCGCTGTGAAGCTGGAAAGAGGCAGCCATAGGGCCAATAGACGATCTGCTTTTTCATACCGTGAGAAGCACACGTAAGGAAGTTGAGATCTCAGACACTGGTGTGAGTATATAAATGGACGTCAGGAAAGCTGACACCGATCTCAGGATGCTAGACCCGCCCCAGGATGTGCAGGTAAGCATGGGGTATTCGAGGCCTGTGCTCAACCTGCTGCGGTCAACACCCAGAGGGACAAAGATGCCTTCTGAGGAAGCGCCACTCAGGGTCCCACGACTGGCAGGTCCCGCTTCTCATAGAAAGGGGGTTTCCGTTTGCTTCTGCATTTACTTGGGTCTCAGAAATGTCCATTACCAAGCCCTAGAATTTTAAAATTCTCTCGACTTTTATTTCTTCTGCTTCAAATTACGATGATGCGATGCTAATCAATATCTCCAGAGTGTTGTAAGCAATGAGGCATCAAGGCTGTCATGGCGAGCTCTGAAATACAAAAGGGCAGTCTTCTAAATCCACACGGAGAGCCAGCTTTCTGTCATCCAACGTCACGCAGGGCAAAGAACACACACACACGCACGCGTGCGTGCGCACACACATCCTGGGCTGGACAAACAGATTCGATGTTTCCCCCAACCAAATGTTTTATCGGAGTTGCTAATAAGAACAAAAGAGACTGATTTTTGTTTCTTTTTTCTTTTTTTTTTTCGTTTTTCACTCCGCTGCTTGAGTGTTTAGGAGACGCAAAGTGGTTGGCGTTTGGGGGCGATAGGGAGGAGCGGAGAACTTTCCATCTGAGGACATGACTTCTAAGAGGGCAGCAGGAGCGGATGGCTGCCCGTGACCGTCAGACAAGCGGGGAAGGGAGCCTGACTGTCTGACTTAGAAGGGAGCGGGCGACGTGGGCTCTGGGTCCGAGAAAGCAGGGACCTGCAGGCCTGGCCTGACCAGTGTGTGTCCTCCGTGACCTGGTCCAGGTGACTGCTGGCTTCTGGCCGCCATCGCCTCCCTCACCTTGAATGAAGAGCTGCTTTACCGCGTGGTGCCCAGGGACCAGAACTTCCAGAAGAACTATGCGGGAATCTTTCATTTTCAGGTATGGTGCTTGGCTCACGGCCCCCGACCCTGCTTTCCACACTCTCGGGTCCCACCCCAGATCTACTGAATCAGAGGCGGGGGGCCGGGGCCAGAAGTCCATGTTTTAACAGTCCCTCCAGGTGATTCTGAGTTTGAGAACCACTGCTTTAGTGCATCCATCCAATCATCCACACGTCTACCCCGCCTCCCGTCTCCCCCAGACCTCATGGCCTTAAAGAAAGCACTTGAGAGTGTCAGGAGATGTGGATCTGAGTCACCCACTGTCACTGCCGCGTGATGCCGGGCAAGTTTTCTTATCCACAAACTCAGACACTGGATTCGATGTTTCTGGCTTTTTCTGGCCTCTCCTGTGTGGACGGGGAAATAAGACACAGTTCCTGCTTGGAGCTTAGAATCCACTAACGGTCCAAGACCGAGCACTGAGATTCGCAGAGCTCCCTGAGGTCCCCCGAGGAGACTCACTGCGCCCATCAGCTCTTCCCTCGAGCAGCCGCTGTGTTTCCCGCCCGCAGTTCTGGCAGCGCGGCGAGTGGGTGGAGGTGGTGGTGGACGACCGGCTGCCCACCAAGGACGGGGAGCTGCTCTTCGTGCGCTCGGCAGAGGGGAGCGAGTTCTGGAGCGCCCTGCTGGAGAAGGCCTACGCCAAGTGAGTAGGGGGCTCTCAGGAGCCACGAGACCCCACGGTCTTCCTGGAGGAACTCACCGCCCGCTCCCCAGACTCAGGGCGCCATGCCCACGTCTTTCCCAACACCCGGACCCCCATGCGCTGTGTCCGTCAGTAACTAAGAGAGACAGAAATTTGGGTTAGGAGTTTAAACGCTCTGCTCTCTTCCATGTGAATGTGCGCATGAGGGTCAAGCCTCAGCCCCTTGGTGCCTCAGCTTTCTCCTCCTTCACCCCCCCAGGGAACTCCTTAGGTCCTTGTGAATTTTTAAAAGGATAATGAAGAAGAAGAAGAAGAAGAAAACCAAAGTACTTAGAGGCTAAACTCAGCAAAGTCTATCGACCCTTTGTTCAAGAGTCATTCTCCTTCCCACTGGCATTTGATGTTTCAAGCCTTCTTTTCTGCAGCCCCAGTTTCTCCGCAGTCCTGTTCCCACAGCAAACCTTGAGGGATGCCCCTCAGCCTCAAGAGAGGGTCACCTCCTTCCTATACACCCCCGAAACCCAAGAAGCCCGGGTCAGCTCTGGAAAGGTTGCGTTTTACTTTTTCCAGGAGTGGCCACTTTTTCATGGTGAGAGGTGGCCTGGGAATTCTTCCTGGCAAAATGCTGAGCTGGCCACGTGACACTGTGGCCTGATCGCCTTTCTCGCCCACGGTGAAATCGGCAAAGGGCCCTCCTTTACCTTCTGGACCACACCAAGTCCTAGCATGGCCCCTGCCCCCACCCACGTGGTCCCCTCCGTGGGGTTGCCGTTGGCTGTGATTGATGCACGTCTTCTTTCTTTTTCAACAGGCTTAATGGTTCTTATGAGGCTCTCGCTGGAGGGTCCACAGTGGAGGGGTTTGAGGATTTCACGGGTGGCATCTCTGAGTTTTACGACCTGAGGACGCCACCAGCCAGTCTGTATCAGATCATCCGGAAGGCCCTCCGTGGGGGGTCTCTGCTGGCCTGCTCCATTGATGTGAGCCGAGATGGCTTTTCTTTGCTCCCCCTCCCCATGTGTGGTAGGGCAGGGGCTGGACAGGGGCGAGGGGCCTGGGAAGGCTTTGGGCCAGAGCAGAATCAGGGTCTTAATGGGCAAGTCTAGTGACGTGTTGGTCCCCAGCACGTGGAGCTGGTTAAGACCTAATTGGTAGGTGGGAATTGGGATGGGGCTCATTGCAGGAGCCCCGATTTCCCCTCATTGTTGAGCCCCTATGGGAATTGCCCGAAGAATGTAACCTCGATCCCTAGATCCTAGCCTTACGGTTGCTATGCCTTTTTTGCTAAGTATTCTTGGGATTCTGGAAAACAAATATGACGATCGACAACACCTAATGACTTTGAGGTCTCTGAAGAAAAGGGAGGAGGTTCTGAAAGCAGGGGCCATGCCCCATCCCGGGGGCTGTCTATGTGGAGGGCCAAGGTGGCATGGAGACGAGGGCCTGGGGGCCCCCAGCCCTGTGGTCCGTTGTCACCTGCCCCTTCACCTGCTCTTCGTCCCTCTGCTGCCCTCACCTAGTGACCTCAGACACGTGAACGACATGTCTCTGAAAACCCTGGTAGGGTTTGAGTGTTTGTAGTGGAGTCACGAGGTGGGGTGTGGGTGGGGAGTCTGCATAGCAGGAAAGATGATTGGGAAGCCATCTTGGAATCAGTGGCGAAACGGGACTCGTCCAGAGCCACCGTCACAGGTAATCAGTCTTCTGCAGGCACCATGGGGTCGCTCTTGGAGAATAAATGTCTTCCCAGTTTCCTGTGACATTTAAAAGGCTGGTAATCATATTCCAGGCTTGGCAGCCACACCGCACTCTGCCCGGAGCAGCAGGCCTAATTAAAGAGGGGTCGAGCGGAGATGCTCTGTCTACCTGAGCTTCGTTGCTGCCCTGTGCTAGGCCCTCTGTGGCTGGGTGTTGTGTCCTTGGAAAGCACTGTAGGACCAGCCCCAGCAAGGTCAGGGTCAGCCACCCTAAGGGGGACCCTCTTCTCCACCCAGGTCTCCAGTGCAGTCGAAACAGAAGCCGTCACCAGCCAGAAGCTGGTTAAGGGTCACGCGTACTCCGTCACTGGAGTCGAGGAGGTAAAACCGGGGTGGAGCGGGGTGGGTGGGTGAGGATAATAAGTGAGGATATTCCCACAAGTCCAGCGCATTCCTGAGAAAAAGAGCAGGGTTCACCGCCGAGTCGCCCTGCCAGGCCGAGGGGCCGCCTCTGTCTGGCCACACAGAGCCACTGCCATCACACATGGCAGTCAGCTTTCGCTGGCCTCAGGGGGCCCTGCTAACACCTACTCAGAGCGGGGGGACGTGACCTCTCGGAGCTGTAGCTCCGCGGGTTCTCACTAAATGCAGGCTCTCCTCTGAGATGTAGCCGGGAGGAGGAAGAAGGTTCTGGAGGAACATCGTAGAAATTGTCAGTTAGGTTTTTACACTCATTCCAAGGAGTGTGTTTGTGCAGCCGAAGCAGCGGAGACCCCTAGCATCCCCCAAGAGAAAAAAAAGGCAGCGACATCGGCCCCGAATTTCAGGGCGGGGTAATCGTGGGAAGGACACAGGGATTCCTCACTGTTCACCCCCAAAAGGAAGTGTGGGCTGTGGTTTTCATTTTTATTTACTACATTCTGCCTACACCCGAAAAGGATCTGAGGTGGTTGACGATGAAAAGCATAGATAGATACAATAAGACCACACGACTAAAGCACTATACAGCAATCTAGGCTAAAGACAGTGTAACAACTGAGAAATTAATTTTGCTTTGGGTTTCCTGATGGCCAAGGCAAAAAGGGAAATACAGTAGGTGTCTCAGCTCTTGTTATGTATTAAGATGGCACGGACGTGTTTGCGTTCCATGAATATGCTCTTTAACTAAGTCAATTCTCAAATGGGAATATGTATAAACATTGGGCTGGGACATGACAGAAGCTCTGAAGGGAAGTAAGACAGTTAAGACTCCAAAATTCACTGCATGTGTGTGGGCGTTTGCAAATGCAGGCCCTCGGGCTCACAGCGACCTGAGGGCCTGTGGAAGGAAGGAAGTGTGTACGGATTTATGAGTGTGGGCTTTGGACGTAGACTGCCCGGGTGCCCGTCCTCCGTCTGCCACTTACTAACTAGGTAATCTTGAATAAGTTAACACCACCAAGTCACCGATTTGGGAGCCGTAAGATGAGGATAATAACAGCATCCAGCTCACGGGATTGTCTTGAGGTTTCAATGAGGCAATAGCTCACTTGAAATGCTTAGCACTGTGCCCGGTTCATAATACACGCTCGATAAATGCCAACGGCTGTGCTGTGCTGTTAGTATTTCTTGGGAGGGCATTTATTATCATTAGGTCTCGTATATCAAGAGCAGAGTCAACTATAAAAATCTAAATCCAAGTTAAAGCAGACATAAACTTGTTTTTGTGCTAGACTCACTATTTATTCAATCAGATTGTGAAAAATAGAGCCATGGACCAAGGCCCGAAAACACACATTAAAAGCAAATAAAAGTGTGGCGGTTCAGGGACATTTGAAAACCAGAACGCGAATCCTCTGAGGCACGGACGCCGGTGGGGACAGCCGCAGTTGCCTGGGACTCTTGCAGGTGGATTTCCGTGGCCGTCTGGAGAAGCTGATCAGACTCAGGAACCCGTGGGGTGAAGTGGAGTGGACGGGAGCCTGGAGTGACAAGTAGGTGTCATCCTCTCTCCTCTTGTCCTTGCCTCCCTCGGTGGAAAGACATCACACACACACACACAAAAAACCACACAATAATGACGCCACCGACGGTATAGTGAGTTCGGCAGCAGCTTCTGTCCGCAGACGACATAGCCTGTTCGGGAAAAAGGGTGGTAAATGGTTCCAGGCTAGGAAAAGCCGCTTAGCTGGATGGCGTCTTTGCTTCTGGATCGCCGCTGGCGTTGGCAAGTTTGGCAGCTTCATTGAATTTTGCTCAGGGCTGAAGGGTTTGTCTGTTGTCTGCCTGCCACGCCGTGGTGATCCAAAGGTGAGATCGATCGCTCACAATCGGATTCTTTCCACTGCACAAATCCTGGTCACTCTGACAAAGGCTGAACTCTGAGCGCCAAGAGGAAACGACACTTAAAAAGTGGAGCTCTACCCTGGGAGCCCACTGGCCGCAGCGGGCAGTGATGGATGGAGAGGCAGGCATTCTCCCTGGGGGCCCACGGTGGGGCAGGTATTGATCTTTGCCCGTAAAGTCCTTAATAACAGACAGGCTCTTCTCGGGCTGGCCTCTCTGCTGGCGAGAGGAAGTCAGTCTGAGATGGCGACCGGACGCTGAGGCCTCCCGTGGTGGCCACCACGCTGTGCCGTGGTGCGGGTGGGTGTTGAAAGCATGGAGCAGTTTCTTCCTAGTGACAGCTGCTCGCGTGGGGGTGGCAGGTTGACACTGGGAAAGGAAATAGAATTCGCCGGTGTCATCGATAACGAGCCACCGGAACTGGGATGGTAACATAATAATCACCCTCCCTCCCGACGTGTCCTTAAAACTCGTGTGTGCCCCACATGCTCCCTTTCTCCACGAGGCCGCTGAGGCTTTCGAAGGGAACTTTGTTACATTTAAACGGCTCAGGACTGCAACATTCCCCTTCAGGTTCACGCCACGAACAGACACGGGTCCGTAGGGCCCAGGAATATTCGACTGCCTAAGATTGAGCAAAACCCCAAACTCCAATTCTTCCAACTGCCCCCAAAACTGTCATAGCCGAGTGACACTGAAACCCTAAGTTTTGGCCATTTTAATCAACGGCTGTTTACCGAGCTGCCCAAAGGGATTCTTTGACTTTCTCTCTTTTCCCTGTTGCCACCTGGTCCCTAACAGGCTGCGGGACAGGTTCAAGGGTGGGGGGTGGTGACTGGCCTGGGGAGTTTATATACTGGCTGTTGGGGTGGAGGGCGCTGGCCCCTGAGGTAAGTGTTCCAGGCTCAGCTCAATGTCTAATTAAATTAAATATCTATATATATCTATATCTAACTATCTATCTATCTATCTATCTATCTATCTATCTATTTATATTTTTTTAAATCATCTGGGAGATTTAGGTCAGATTTAGAATTCTCCAACTTGCCCCCTAGTCTTTGTTTACAAAGGGCACCTTTTAAGATGTGGTTCTGATCCAATTAATGTTTCAGGGAATTGAAGAGGCCCTGGGGGATCTCCTGTGGGATCCCTTGGGGTTCTCAGTGGCTGGGTTGGGTGTGCCCCAGCTTTTAAGCAGGGAAGAGGAGGGGCTCAGGTTTTGCTGAGAGCATTCAGGAAAGAGATTTTTAAAAACGACAGATCTTGATATTGTTTAGCTATTTAAACATGGCATGAATGTTTCAGAAAAACCTAAGTTTGTAAAGTTCAGGTAGCTGGAGATGACACTTGAACAAAGCTTGTGGGCAGCGTCACAGAAAGGCCGCCAGCAGGCGGCCTCACAGGGCGACAATACTTCAGTGAAATTGCCATGAAACTGGCCTCGCTGGCATTCTCGCAGGCTCAGGCAGTGGGCCATGGCCTCGTGCCCAGAGATGGTCAGACCCTCTCATAACGTCTTCACCCCAGACTGATGGATAAGCCAGAATGACAACTTAGCAATGGATGCTGGTGTGCGTGCCTGTCTGTGACAGGCCTCACATCAGCTCCCTCCGCCTTGGGACTGGGGCCCTGGATCCTCATTAGAAATGTGAAGTTTGCCTGGAGAGTGAATTTAGGGGCCAGGCCGTGGCATAATGTTCCCGCCGCACATCAGGGTTCTCCTTCCAGTGACCGTAGGGTCCATGTCCCCGGCCTCTGTCCCTGCCCTACACTGTGCCCTCCCCAGCCCCCATGCCCTTTTGGGAGAAGTTCAGCTGTAGTGAACAGCTTGCATGGCAACTAACCCTACGGGAACAGCCACGTCTGTTTCATTAAAAAAAAAAAAAAAGTTTGAATTTTATTATTTTAAAATAAACATAATAATAGAAAAATACATTCTATGATTTTTTTCCTCAGTGCCCCAGAGTGGAATTACACAGATCCCAGGCAGAAAGGAGAGCTGGCCAAGACAGCGGAGGACGGGGAGTTTTGGTGAGAGAGCGGTCTGCGGGGGCCCCGGCCCTCTGTTGCGGGTTCACCCCCAGTTTGGACGGAGGGCAAGCGTATCTCTAGGTGCTCCAGAAATGCGACACGGTTCCCGGCCAGGGGTGCTTCATTCTGCTCCCCCTTTTGCCCTCGCGTAACTCTGCCTCTGCGCCGGGACGTCCGAAGTGTCGCGGCCACGACGTCGGGCCCGCCACGTAGATGAGCTCTCAGCCTGTCTCCCTCCCTCTCTGTGTCCATCCAGTGACATAAATCGCTCCTATTTCTTTCATCTAAGATTTCGCTTCTCATCAAAATAGGGTCGCTTCCCTCGTGGGTGGGCTAAGGAAGATAATAAGGACACCCCTGAACGTGCCGTGGCTTAGAGCGTGTAGGGGTAACCGGACCCAAGGCAGGAGCGTTGTTCAGATCACCTCCTGGGGTCTCTTCTGGTTTACGGTTCATTCTGTTCGCTCGGCTGGCGAGGCATGTGAGGAGGGCTCTCTAGTCAGATGGGAGAAGCTCATCACAGTGAAGAAATGGGACAGCGGTCCCTGAGTGTCTGCATCGGTGGGCTGTGGAAAGCTGGGCGCTCGCCTGTGCCCAGGAGGCACACTGTCCCTTACCTGCCTGGCCCAGCCCCCTTGACGGACAGCCCTCTGGCCCCTCTGCCCCCAGGATGTCCTTTGCGGATTTCCTGAGGCAGTTCTCACGGCTGGAGATCTGCAGCCTGTCTCCAGACTCCCTGAGCAGCGAGGAGATGCACAAGTGGAACCTGGTCCTGTTCAATGGCCGCTGGGCGCGGGGCTCCACCGCCGGCGGCTGCCAGAGCGACCCAGGTGAGGCGACGGGCTGCTCGGGCCACCCGGGCCGCCTCCCCTGGCTCATGCTCCCCGAGCTGGGTGTCTTCGCAGGTTCATCTCTGGGCAATGTCCCCCGGCTCCCGGGCAGCGCGCGAGGCCCTGCTCCCCGCTGGGGCTTGGAGGCCAGGGCGGCGAGGGTGGGCAGGCTCTGCAGCCCCTCGCCGGGGGCCCGATCTGACGGAGCACTGTTCTCCAGCTGCCGTGTGCTCGAACTGTCCTCGCTTCACCTGCGCGCCCCCGTCCCCAAGGGGTGTGCTTCTCCTTAGTGACCACGTTCTCGGTGCCCTGCGCTAAGGCCTCCTGTTCTCACCCAGTTGACGGGCACCCATCCGGCTGAGCTCTGGGACGGTGCGCTGGAGGAACCCGGGTGCCTCATCTCCTGTTTAAGTGACTGCGTCCATCAGAGCAGCCACTTTGCTTTGAGTCACAGGGGGAGGGGCCCAACCGCGTGGGCCAGGGGTGGCCGCGCACAGGGCCTGTGAGCGGCCGCTCCCCTCTCTCGTGGGAGAGTCACTGGAGCTCAGTTTCTGGCGGGGAGAGTCTGGTGCTAACCACTGTCTCTGCCCTGACCCTCATCTTATGAAGGCGGGAGGCCCCCTCTTCCCGCAGGTCACTAACACAGACATTTACAGCCTCCTCCTAGGTCGGAACAGCCGAGGCAGCACCCGAGGAAGAAACTCTGAACAGATCGACCCCACATCTCCCCGGAGGATGAAGGAAAGCCCCGCCCACTCCGCCGCCCACCCCCCAGGCCTGTGCGCCCTCCCTGTCCGTGGTGACATGTTGATTGATGGGACAGGGCCACCGCCTTCTTCTGACGCGGAGCTCCTTGCAGGGAGCTCATTGCAGGGCCGTGCTCCGTGCAGAGGAAGTGGCGCCGTAACCAATTCCCCCATGAGTGCAGGCCTGGGGCGTGACCAGCCCTCCCAGAGCGCCCATCTCTGCTGGGAGAGGTGACCACCCAGCAGAGGAGAAGGAAGGGAGGCCCTTTCCTGCCACCGTCAGCTTCCCGGCTGTGGGGCCTCGGATGGTCCTTTTCCTGAGCTTCAGTTCCTTAACCCCCAAAACGGAGCGATACCGCCCACCTTCAGAAATGCTCCGTAAGCGGGGAGCGTTATACAAGTGGCATTTATTTTTATGGCCCGTTCTCATCCTCCACTTCGGTTGAGGAGTAAACAAACAAACAAACAAACAAAAAAATGTAGAGATTGCAGTCACGTTGCAGGCAGGAGAAATTAAAATACGCTTGCCATTCGCCAGCTCTTAGAAAATGCGTAGGAAATTTGCACGGATCATTCTGGGAGCTCGGAACTGCAGGGATGGCCTAAGGTACCCCCGTGTGTGCCAAATCACTGTCGCATCCGTGCCGCCAAGTAGCTGTCGGGAGGAGATGGATGGCTCCTGCCCTCGGTACAGATGTAAGTACAGACGAGTGCAGAATCGGCTCTGTCCCCACTGGAACCTGCACGTGTTTGGCTATAAAATCCACACCCTTATGCCGGAAAGAAAAGAATCAGGGAGTAGAGATTCCGAGAAGGTGGCATCGGATAAATAATCTGACCATCAAGAAAAAAATAATCGTCGGTGGCTTTTGGTCGCCCGCGAGTGCCTTGTTATCTCACCAAGTTGGACCCTTATCGAGAGGCTGTAAGAACTGCGCCCCCTCCTCGCTCCCCTCGTTCCCCTACATCATCGTGGAAATCGTCGTGGCCCTGGCATGGCGATGCCCGTCAGGCCCGTCTTCTTCAGTTATGCTCGGCCACTTGACTGTCATAGAATTGCTGTGCGCCCTGGGATGACCCATCGACCTCTCTGTGCCTTCGCCAGTACAGTTACTATGTTGAGAGAGTATTAAAAAATAATATTCGAAATGCAGCAGTCTGTTTAAACATCCATGGGTGGTGCGGCAGGCATCCTTAATCGCCAATTATTACATCTCGTGCATTATTAAGTGACTTGCTCTTGAAGGGAGTGTGTCTCCTCAGGGGGCCGCAAACTGGGCGGATGGACAGAGCATCAGCAATTAGGGCAGCTTTGGTCTGTGGTCTGAAGCTGGGGCCTCTGTGAGGGAGAACACATGACCATCAGACGGATGAGAGTGACTGCCTTTATGGCCTGTCAGCAGAGGCCTCCTAAGTAGCACATCTGCCTGGACTAGGGATATGCTTCTTACCTAGAGATCTTCCTTCGTCCAGGAGGTGGGTCTGTCTTCATAGGCCAGGAGCTGACACCAAAGAGATGTCCACCATTTCTCCAGGAAGACCTGGAAATTACTTCCTAGGGGGCCCCAGTGTAACCTGGGGCTATGGGACCTTGAATATTCCCGGTCAAGCATACCTGGGCTCCTTGTCGATCAAATGGACACATGCGAAGCGTCTGAATGCTACGGGACATGTCTCGGTGTGTGGGTGGGGCAGGAAGCTGGGAGGAAATGCCTGACTACCTTGTAAAGGAAACTTGCCCAGGCTGCTTACCAGGCAGAGTTTGGCCAGAATTATGCTTCCCTTGGGATGACCAAGGTTCTTCCCTTTCATTTCATTCTTCTGTCTCCTCATCCCCCATGGGGGAACCACCACCAGCTGGTGACTTCCGGCCACTTACTAGACCAACGCCCAGTTCAAAATCCGTTTGGATGAGGCGGACGACCACCAGGAGGAGGGTGATGGTGAACCCCGCTGCACGGTGCTGCTGGGCCTGATGCAGAAGAATCGCCAGTGACAGAAGAGACTAGAACAGGGCGTGCTGAGCATCGGCTATGCCGTCTGCAAGGTAGTCCCGAGCTGAGGTCAGCCCTCGTCACATGCTCGGGGTCTTCGGTCGGAACATTTTGGTCGGTAATTGGAGCATGTCCTTCCGATGGCTTGACTATTCCTACTCAGCCATGCTCCTTGCTTGCCCGAATGCCTCTTCCAGGGGACTTCCTGAGGCCTGAATTCCACAGTTAGAGATTCATTCCTATGGCTTAAGTCTCTGCTGTTAACGTTGGGCTGTATAATTCATTAAACTTTGCCTGTCATTGAGGGATCCGTGTAAACATGCCTATTAGACTCTTTCCAAGTATAGGCTTCTCTGGGGACAGGAGCCAAGAATATGGGGCATAAGGCACTTGAGGTAACACAAAGAGCATGAGGGGCATCGCAGAATGGGGGAAGTAAGGCTGGACATGAGAGCCAAAGACAATTACCCCTCTCTACCCGGGCAACCTTGAGACGCCTGTTGGAACACACGGGGCATGAGCTGAGGTGAGCGAAGCCACATAGATAGTCATTTTCAGCACTGATGTCTCTGGACTGGGGACCAAAATGAATTTCTTGGGAAAAATACACTTCTAATCAGGGATACCAAAAGCTGGCTGGAGGCCGGACATCTCGCTATAAATTACTGCATGAGAAACAAGTGTCGTAATAAGAAACAGGTGACGAGAAGGGCAGTTGTCAAGGTCATGCCACCTCCAGCTCCTTTCTCTTATTTTGGAACTCAGAGCTTTAGAATTTAGGGCGTGCGAATGTGTGTGTGTGTGTTTTACGTTGGAAAATACTTGCTGCTTGATGGCAGGAGAAAAGAACGTCAAATAAATAAGCTCCGATTCTAGTCCAGCTTAGCCCATCCTTCCCCATCCAGAATGTAAACAGCTCCAGACTAGAGCCTTTGCTGAAAACATGAGAAGTCGCTTACCATGTGCATATCAAGTCAACTCGCTTTAATGAGCACTCACTACGTGCTAGGCGCTGTGCAGAAAGCTCGCCGTTACTGCTCTTAAGGGGCCCACAACCTCGAGAGGAAATCAGACCCACTGTCAACAGGGCAAGTCAAATCTGCTGTGATGGGGAGCAACACAGGGGTGGGCCGGGTGCTCCTCAGAGAGAGAGACGCTTCACGGAAGAGGAAACTTTGATCGGGATTTAAAGGATGAGCTGGATTTTAGCGGGGAAGAGGGAGAACATTCCAGCCGGAAGGGACACCGTGTGCTTCTTGGCAGCTGGAGAGTCAGTGATGGTCTTGGAGAGCAGGGAGTAGGTGGGCCTGGCTGAAGAGTAGGCTCCTCAGTGACTGTGGCCACCCGTTCTTCATTCACTGGCCCCACCTTATGTAACCAGATCAGCAAAGCATTCTTTCAAAGGGACGTGGGCTGACATACTGCGATGACCTTGCTGGCATGGCCTTTGCACTCGTAAATATACATATGTGTGCAGCATGTCAATTTTTTGGACATCGAATTCTAGCAGCTTATAAAATAACCCCATGAATGTAATCTGTGGGCCTTCTTGTAGCTGGAGGCATAAAATTTAGAGTATGACATCTGTGAATACAAGCGGTTTGTTAGATTGGGGGGGTATATAAGGTTACATCTGTGAATACAAGCAGTTTTAGTTAGATCGAGGGGGGGTATATAAGGTTATAGGGAATACCTGGAGTTGTAGGGAGTACTTGGGGTTATAGGGGGTACCTGGCATTGTAGGAAGTACTTGGGGTCGTAGGGAGTACCTGGGGTCGTAGGGAGGGAGTATTTCAGGGTACCGTTCTCTGACCCCTGTAACTGCCTCCTATGGCTTTAACGGTCTGCAAACTGGAGTCTGATTTGAGGTTGAAAACCTGACACTGATTGATTGAGAAGCAGCCAGAAACCCGGAAGGCTAAAGAGCCCTCCTCTCTCTCCCTTTCATCTTCCCGCGGTGACAAGGGGCTTCTGCCAGGCGAGCCTGTCGTTTGTATCCAGGATCCTGCATTTCAAAGGTGGCTGTAGGTTTGCTTCTGTCAGTGGGCGGGGGCTAAGGTGTGCTGGCTCAGACCCGCGGTGACTCCGGGAGGGGCGGATCTGGAGGGTACCGCCAGCAGCCGTGGACGTGGTGGCTGGGAAGGCCGCCAGCTGCTGGGAGAGTCCCTGCCAGCCGCCCCTGCCAGCCGAGTGCAGGTTTTCAGGCAGTGAGGGGAGAGGCAAGTCCCTGAGGACCTCTGTGCTCAGAGACAGCGGGGCCTCTGCGTGCGGGATTTTGGTTTTAACTCAAAGTTGAAGAGCCACACTGACCCAGGCCGTTTCTACCTCTGCCGACAATTACAAGTGGGGGCGCCAGAGCGAGGAGGCCAGCCGATCCAAATTTTCCCTAATTTGCCGCTCCCGCCACCCCCGAGTTACAGGCAGTTGCCCGTGGACCCAGACGACTCTCTCCCTGGTCAAAAGAGCCGATGTGGCAGGGACAGAGGGAGAAAGTGACAAGGGGACCTTGAACCCTCTTCTCTGCCCTGGGCCTGGAGGGCTCACTCTGTCTCTGAGAGCCGATCTCCTGTGGGCGTCGGCCTTCCAAGTCGCGGATAATCGAGCCTAAATCTACTAGATCAGTGAAAAAAGAATTCGCCCGCTCATGTCACCAAATCCAGGGGAGGGCAGGGACACTTGGAACCAGGGGCTGGCCTGCTGTCAGGGCCCATTCTCTCTCCCTCTCCTCTCTGCTGTGGGCGACATTCTCCTGGTCTAGCCTTTTGCACAGCACCCCCTACTATTACAGTGTAAAAGAAGGAGCCCCCCTTCCCTTAGTTCCAATTCTAGAACCCTGGAGAAGCCTCTGATGGACTCCGCTTGGTCACGTGCCTGTTCTTGACCCAGCCGCTGTGGCCAAGGTCAGGATGAGTCATGGCTCGGGTTGCGTGAGAGCCCCCTTTCTGGGCCCCCTTGATCCGGAGGCCAGGTCTGTAGGTCTGTAACGTGTTCGTGCTCATTTAAATCCAAGGTTATTACCCCTGAAGAATTGGGGATCCTGGTGGATTCTACAACTAGAAAATAAAGTAACAAAGTGGAGCCTCTTTTTTTTCCTTTCAGATTTCTGGGGCTCAGTGGTGTACAGAGGGCCTTGAAATTCATCACCGACTTTCCAGTTTCAGAAATGCTGACTAGTCTCTCACTTGAGCGCCCACTTCCTCCCCGCTGGTGGCCCAGGGTTACAGTGGGGGAGGGGGTGCAAAGGCGCAAAGGGAGGACCTGGGCACTCTCAGGTGACCTGCTCTTTTCTCCCGCCCCGTAGGTCCCCAAAGAGGTATGTGAGTGCCGACAGAGATGTCCTTCCTTCGGTAAGACGGAGCTCGGCTGCCTTCGCAGATGAGCACGCAGCAGCATCGGCTCCTCCCAGGGCAGCCGGTTCGGTTCTCCCCTACGCGGGCTCCCACATGGTCTGGTGAGCCGGTCCCCCTGAGAGCTGCTAAAGGCAATCCCGAGTGCCACCTGGCAGGACAGTGGTGACCTTTGTCCTCTGTGTGCTTGCTGGTCGGATCAGAACAAGATAATTACAGCACACCTTAGGCTCCTCTTGAGCCACAGAAATAAACGCCCTGATCTCGGCTAAGAAAAGGAAGCGCCAACCTGCCTTTCTGGCTCTGGGCTTTTCCTGGGCCGCCTCTGTGATTTACAACGGGGTTAAAGAGACAGGGTCATTGTCATGCTTACATCTGGGGTTTCCTGCTGCTGTCCCAGGCTCTCCCAGCTATCCTGGCTGCCTGGCCAGTTGAAAGGAGGAGCCCCAGGCAGCACCCCTGGGGAGGGGACCTGCGGGGCTCCATGCAGCCAGCACAAAGGCCCCAGTTCGTTCTGGCACGCCGAGCCTCTCCTGGGGATACTTGCTGAGCATTTAGAAATTGTCACCATCTGAGTGAGCGTGGGTGTGAGTGGCCCTGTGACAGAGTGGTGTCCTGGCCAGGGTGGTCCCGCCTTGCACCTCGAGCTGCCCGGGGAGGCCCTGGCCCCCCGAGACCCTAAACTAGAATCAGTGGATTAGAAAATGATGATCTGACTTGTTCCCGTTCATCTTTCTTCAGCGGATGCACAGCTCACGTATTTCAGTGTTTAATGTTAGAAGGGATGTGGGTCTTTATTTAGAAGTTCGACAATGTTTTTGTGACCAGAAATACGCCGTAGAAACTTAATTCTTGTTTCTATCGATGAGCCCAGTGTAATATTGGTTCGTTATACGTTCGTGGTTTCATTGAAAGTCATAGTTTCTAAGAACCTATTGACGACATTAGGTGAGGACTTACCATGTGTCAGAATCTCCGGCTCCAACGTGTGGTCGAGGTTAAGAGCCACCGTCGTACGTGGGGCTACCCCAGCTGGAGGCAGGGACACTAATTACTTAGACGTGTATTCGCCATGCTGCACAGTCCCACCTCCGCTTTCCCGGGTTCTCAGGCTCGGCCAGCTCTGTGGCATGTGGCAACGAGGCCCACATTTTCGGGCTCCAGCCCAGGCCTTGTGCCGAGGCTACAGACGACTGGTCTACCTGCCCCTTGGCTCACGAACGCATGCGGCGGCTCCCATCGGAAATGTCCCGTTTAGGTGAGGGAGACGCCACACCGTCACACGTACACACAGCGGAACCTCCCCAACAGCACCTCCCAGTGCCCTCTGCATCACCGTGGGTCCTGTGCCTGGCAAGTACCAGTGATCTTCGGTCAACGCTTCTCAAACCATGGCCTCGGAACCCTCTGGGGCCTCGTCAAAGCCCAGACTGCTGGGCCCCGCCCTGATTCTGTAGGTCTGGGGTGGGGCCTGGGAATTCACATTTCTGTCGAGTTTCCCAGGGGGCTCCTGCTGGTCCGGGGCCTACACTGAGAGAGTCGCCTTCAGGTGAACCCGCTTGACTCCCATCCTGTTACCCTCAGCTGAGCTACGCCAGGGGGAGACGTGAGGGCCAGGGGCCTGGTGGCGCATCCTTTCGGAGCTCCTGGCGGGACGGAGGGGACACAGCTCTCGCCTCAGTGTCCTCCAGCTCCCACGCTGACTTCCCAAACGAGGCTTCTGCAGTGCGTCCCATCCCTGGGTTCTTGCAAGAATTCAGTTCTCCCCCTTCCCGGCCTAACCCGAATGAGAGTTTGCTTCTCACTCCCGCTCCACCGAGGACGCCCCCTGCTGGGGATGACAAGAATGACATTCAACTCCATGACACGTAGACCTTGCCCATGGCCTAGCTGGCCATCCCTGGCATTCTCTTGCCAAGAGTATACACCTTTTCAGGGGTCTCCCCAGTGCCGTGGCTGTCCCTGTACCCAGGTCAGCGGGGGCTGGCCGGGGGACGCCGTGGAGTCCTGACCAGGGCACTGCGGGCAGATGGCTCTGCTTTCTCCCCCGCCTAGCAGACCCGTGAGCCAAAGAGGATCTGGTGACCTTGAAGGGACACTGTCCACTCTGGGGTGGACGATCTGGCTCCGGGTCACACAGAGGTCACAGTCCTTGCAGCTCCGGCCCTCTGCCATGGGCGTCTCGATGAAGACTGGTCATAAAGGTACAGTGTGATGGGAGGCTTAATTACAGCGATAATCACATCGACACCTGTGTTTTCGAAGCACTCTGCAGTCGCTAATTAGCCCATGTCACACGCCGACAGCCTCCCTTTCCCTCAGCAAACAAATGAGTCATGGGGAGCATCCTCCCGTCTCCGAGGAGAGACGAGGCCCGGAGGGAGGCCTGGGTGGGCCACCCCCGCCGTCTGCCGCCTCGGGAGCTGCGCCCCTGCCCTCCCTGTCGCCTCACAGAGCCATTTTCCCAAATAGTCACACGCTCCTGGCTGCTTTTGCTCGAGGACCAGGATTTAAACTGACTTTTCCAGCCACAGGCCTGTACTGGGTGCTCAGCGCCACACTCCAGGGACAGCACGGAGTAAGAGTGTTGGATTCAGTGGGTGGGAGATTCATGCCAATTACCGGGAGAGAAGCTGAGCACACACTGGAGACCCCGCTATTGGACCCTTCTTTTAACTGGAAGCAGGCTAAGGGTCTGGCCAAGGTCACGTAGTCAAGGGCAGTGCCTGAAACAGGGCCTGGGCCCCAGAAGATGCTCTAAATACATTTTTGATCAACACAACCTGACTTCACGGCAGAATCCAAAGCATCCTGATTCTTGGCCCAGCGTTAAAAGTCGCCCATCCCTAAGTCAGCATGATCGCCCCCCACTCTTCAGCCCCCGTCTTCCGGGGTTTCAGAGGTATTGACTCCGACCGTTGCTGTCAGCAGCTGGAGAGTCACACGGACGTGCACCTGGGCCAGTACTTCTTCCTGGGCCACCAGCCCTCGGCCCGCTCCAGCACCTATGTCAACAGCCCAGCCCAGGCCTGGCTCCCCCGGGGGAGTACCTGGTGGTGCCGTCCACCTTCGAGCTCTCCCAGGACGGCGACTTCTGCCTGAGGGTGTTCTCGGAGAAGAAGGCCCGGGCCCTGTGCGTGTCCTTTCCCAGCGCGGTGTGTGGGAGTCTGGGGGCCCGGGGTGGTGGACGGCTGTGGCCCCGTCCCTGAGTGTGACCCATCCTCGGCTCCCGGCCGATGCCTCCCAGAAGAAATGCGTAAAACACCGCAGGTCTCAAGGGTCCTTCACTGGGTGCCCTTCCCGCCCTTCTACTTTGGTCTATAGGACACTGGGGGATTTTCTTAAAAAAAGGTCTAGCTGGAGAGATGGGACCCCAGTAATAGCCTGGTTAGAGGGCTTTCCTGCCACCAGGGTGGGCACGTGAGGCCCAGAGAGTAGGATCTAGAAAGCACCATCTCTCCCCTTACACACACACACACACACCCCATACAACACACACACACACACACACACACCCCACACAACACACACACACCACACACACACCGTATACACACCACAGATACACGCACACCACATACACACACCACATACACAACACACACACCACATACACAACACACACACAACACACACAACACACAACACACAACACACACACACCATATACACACCACAGATACACGCACACCACATACACACACCACATACACCACACACACACACAACACACACGCAACACACACACCACACACGCAAACCACACACACACAAACCACACACACACACGCACACCACACACACCATAGACACACACACCACACACCACACACACCACACACACACACACACCACACCACAGACACACATACCACACACCACAGACGTGAATACACACATATACATAAAAGCACCACCTCCTCACACACACCCCACACACGTCCCACACACGTCCCACACACGTGCACACACATGCATGCACATGCCCCCATACACGCATATCACACACGTCCCACACACGTGCACACATAGGTATACACACATGCATGCACATGCCCCCATACACGCATATCACACACACACACACACACTCGCTACACTACATGCACGTAACCTCTGAGACTGGCGGGAACTTGGTCGAGGATGCTTGGCTCGCTTGCGTCTGCACACTCGTGAGTCTCCACGAGTAAGAAGGGTAAGGCCAGCGATGTCAGCACCCACCTCCCGCCCCTTCCTGTCTTCAGACCGAGGCCTTTCCTGCACTGGGGCGGGAGAGAATGTCAGTCTCGCTGTGTCGACGGCCCCTTAAGGAAACAGAAAACCTGAGTCTCCGGGTCTCGCCCAAAGCCTCTCTCTTTGTAAACCGGCCCCGTCAGATCAGGGCCCCGACTAAAAAGCCAGGGCAGCAGAACTCCCCAAAATCAATATCCTTTAGGGGCGGGAGGAATCGCCCAGCGCGGGTGGATGGCTGCTCAGCTCACCTGGCTGGGGCAGGCCTGGTGCTCCCTGTCCTGCTGCCTCGTGGCCCTCAGGGAGACCAGCAGCCCTTGGCCTGGGGAGCTCAAGCTCGGCCGAGGGCCAGCCCTTGGCCCTCAGTGGGCACACGCGTCTCCGTGCACCCCTCAGCCAGCACGAGGGCCGAGGGGTGCATGGAGACGCATGTGCCCACTGACCTTCTCTCCCCAACCTGCTAACATTGGTTTGTCGTAGTTCCTGTCCTGTGGGGCATAAGTCACAGCAAAGTCAGGACTCCAGGTGTCACGATTGGCCCGATAACTTCAGCGAAGGATACAGTAAGGGGTGCCGAAGGGCCTTGGAAGGTGTCAGCCAGCTCCGGTGGCTGTAACAAAGCACCGCAGACTGGGCAGCTTATAAACAACAGGCATTTGTCTTTCGCAGTTCTGGAGGTGGGAAGTCCAAGGTCAGATTCCGGTGAGATTTTTCTTCTAAGCTGCAGACTGCTGACCTCGCGGTGCCCTCCCACGGTGGAAAGAGGGTGGGGGAGCTCTCTGGAGTCCCTTTCATAAGGGTGCTGATCTCATTCATGGGGGCCCCACCCTCATGACCTAATCACCCCAAGGCCCTTCGCTATCACTACCCTGCGGGGTGAGGTTGCCACATGACTTTCAAAAGACATAAACAATTATTCTGTAACTGAAGGGGGAAAAAAGTACTCTCCACCCCCCAGGGACCCTCAGGGCCGCTTTCCAGACTTAAGAATGGAACAGAAGAAAGTACATCAGAATCCTTTGCAGCAAAAACCCGGGAACACAGTTCCTTTGCATAGCCATCACTCCATAGCCGAGGACCCCTTGCAAAAATGAGTCAATTTATGTTTTAGGTGGATATTCGGACTGGAATTTTTACTAACAAAACCTCGTTGCCTTGTCTGCCACAGGGTCATGTGTTATTAAGAACATCAAGAGCAACGAAAAATCTAAGCTCATGTTCGTACACTAGTCCTTCGTGTACCTTATTTTTTCCCCCTGCAGCAAGGGGCAGTGTTGGTGGAGGGCTGGGCACAGAGAAGCGGAGGAGCGGGCTGGGCACCAGGGACAGGCCGAGGTCTGAACGTAGACCCTCGACATCCCATCTTTTTCCTGGCAGGCTAGTGGGGGCAATGTTCCCATCGCGCAGGCTTTTCAGGGGGGCTTCAGGCTTCACTGCTCCACCTGAACGAGACCGGCTGCCCTCACAGTGTGTGTGCTACTCTGCGCAGCTCTTATCTCGATTTTTTCCAGAATCGCCCGGGCCACTGGTGGAGGATGGGAGAAGGGGGATTGTCCTGTGGACAAATGATGAGACCTCATTTCCTAAGGGGAAGTGACTTGGCGGCAAACACGGGGCAGCGTCGTGACTGGAGCCCGGAGCTCGGTGCAGTCTGCCGTCTCTGCGCCTCATCTGCCGTCCTGTGAGGTCTGCCCTTTGGCTGAGAGTCGAGGGACAAGTCTGTCCAGCCCAGTGTGTATCCCAAACACACATGGGAAGCCCGCGTCCCTTAAATCTCTACATGCCCAGCATGAGGCGGGCTGCTGTTCGGAACGGCAGTGCCCACAGATGCAGTGGGAAAGGCGACACGTCTTAGGTTTTGAGTCTCGACTCTGCCGCTTGGTAGCTGTGAACCCCAAGCAATTATATCACGTGGCAATTACGGATTACATTTTGTATGTACATAGTGTTTAGCAGTTTACAAAATCACGGCTTCCTTCACGCTTAAGCGGATGCAGAGTTGTTTTGAAAATTTGAGGATAGTCCACATCGGGGGGTGTCACGCCTGTCAACGTAGCTCCCATTATCCGCTACTCACCACCCTTTGCTGTTGGTTTAATCGAGCCCCTGTGTGACAGCCTGCAGCCCGGGAAGTGCCACGCACGCTTCTCCCCGAGGCTGCGGGGGAGGGACAGTGACAATCGTAGTTTTTAAAGATGTCACAGCCTTTTGAAATCACAGGGTCCATGGACCTGGCGTCTGATGACATTAACGTCTTGGAGAGCTTGGCGGGGCGTGGCGTGACTTGCATATGGGTTCCTCTTTCTAGGATTTTGAGATCGGTGCCAATAAACTCAAGACGGTTCTGAACAAGGTGCTTTCCGAACGGAAGTTGCACGTTAGGTCTTTTCAGAAAGTCTGTGAGAGCCCGTGAGATGCTGGGGTGGGAGCCGGCACTGGGCTGGGAGCACCCAGAGACAGGACGGGGAGAGGGGGCCTTTGGCCTCTGACCCCCAGGGTCCTGGTTCCCTCTGGGCTGAGAGAGTGTCCAGCAGCTAGGAAGGGAAGGGCGGGGTGCCGGGCAGGGTGAAGTAGGGGCGATGAGGGAGCCAAGGACCCTGCAGGTAGGAGTCCTGATCCCCGGGAGCCAGGATGTGGGCCGAGGGTGACCTGAGTGAAGTTTCCCCAGAAAACAAACGACTGGTCCCGTGGGGAATGGCAGCTCCTGCTCTGTGGTGCACCGCTGGGGAGAGGCGTGTGGGAGGGATGGTTCTGACCTTCCCAGACAGCGGTGGGTCCCCATCTCAGGCTGTAGCAAGTCCTGGGGGCGGCCAGGGGCTCAAGTGCATGCACCCCGAAGAAAGCCTTGCCTCCCCATCTGACCCAGCCTCGTGTGAATGGGCACGGAGCTGGCTTCTCCTCTGGCCCCGGGATGGGCCCGGTTAAGTCTTCCCGCTGGGTGAGTGATGGGCATGTTCACCCACTGTAGCCGGACTGAGCGTGAGAATGCAGGACACAGGGGCACGGCTGAGCGGCCAAGTGCAAGGCCTCCCAGAGGCAAGGCGGAGCAGCTCCCCAGGGCTCCAAGCCCAGGCCCTGGCTGGAGGGCCCTCCCAGGTCCACAGACCTGGCCTCTGCGCCAGCTCTCAGTCCTGCTTTTGCCGAGAAAATGCCGAGGGAGGAGGAGGGCACCTCTGGGTCTTTGGCGCCTTCCTACCTTGACTCCCGGCCGAGGGCAAGATGAGCGTGGAGACCAAGGACGGCTGCGGCTCCAGCGAGGGTGACAGCTGCCTTTTGAGAGGCCGTGGCTGGTGCTCACAAGCGCAGCTCCATGTGGGCCGTGGAGCCCGATGGCCTGGGTCTGAAGCCCAGCTCTGCCCCCTGCTGGTCAGGAGCTCTTGAGCACATTATTTAACCTCTGGGCCTCAGTTTCCTTATCTGTAAAATGGGGACAGTGCTTAGAAGGCTACCGAGCCACTAAAAAGAGAGCTGTTTTATTTTATATTTAAGAACTTACCATATACCCAATACTGTGTTAAGAACTTCGCTTCCATTGTCTCATTTAATCCCCAGCCAGTCTTTGGGGACAGGGCAATGCTGATGGCTTCTCAAGTGCTCCAGAATTTTCCTGCCTGACCCAGGTCTGGTTGATGGCTCCTTACAACACTGACTGCCCAATTAATGGAGGAGGAAACTAAAGCTCAGAGAGATATCAGCTTGCTAAAGTCTGTGGCTGGTGAGTACCAAAGACGAGATTCAGACGCTGAACCCCAACACCGGTGTGCACCTGCACCCCCTCCCAAGGCCTGAGCAGAATCGGGGGGGCCTCTGCCGAGAAGGCTGCGGCTGTGCTCCCCGTTTTTGTGGAGACCACACTCGGCTCCTTTCTCTGTCTGGGGTCTTCGGTGGTTTCCGTGGGGATTATCTGCGCTGGCTTCAAATGATCCTGATTCCCACCCCGCCTTTTCTATTTAAATATTTAGGAAGAGACATAAAATTCGATGGATTCGACATCAACACTTTCAGGGAGACAATCAGCCTCATGGATGTATCCTTTACACGGCACATTACTTTTACTTTTTTCCAGCTCTGAATGACTCCTCGACCTCTCCCGGTGAGAAGGGGGAAGGGTGGGGAAGGGAAGGAAAGAGAAGGGAACCAGCTTATACCGAGTGGATGTCCAGTGTCCTGCTTGAGCCTTAAGGAAAAATATGTCACTTCCTGTTTGCTTCTCAATAAGCTTCAGATCGCCTCCGTTTTACAGGGGAAGAAACTGAGGCACGCAGTGTTTACGTGACTGGTTTAAACTCCTTTAATGTGGCAGATCCGGGGCATTCGTGCCTGTCTTCCTGGTTAGTCACAGTGCTCCTCCTTCTAGGCTCCGTTCCCACCCTCTTCCCTCCCCGCTTCCCTGCCTCTCCCTGTCTGTTTTTAGTCTCGGTCTCCAAGTCTTAACACGGCCCTTCGACAGCCACTAGCAATAGTTTAGAATTATCACATCACGGAAAACCTCTTTGTTCTCTCTGACCCAACTGAACCCTCACTCCATACTTAAGAACATGTGAAGAGTTTTCTCGGTGGAAGAGACAGCTTAACTGAAGGCACAGAGAGAACGGTCCATTGCCACATCCTTAAAACGTCGCCTCGTGGGGGTCCAGGTCTCCACGCTCCACGGTGCTGATGGTGGAGGCGATTTCTTTAAAAACTGGAACCTTGGAAGGTTCCCCTCCATTCTTAGGGCCTCAACCATGATGTGGTCTGATGACCATCGGGGCGGGAGGAATGCCTGTTATTTGCGTGGGGTCAGGCGGAGGGTCCTGGCTGGCCAGCGTGCGTGTGCTGACCAGGCGTACCAGGGATGGGGAGACGGTGCTAGCTCCATGTCTTTCTCCTGGGCCCACATAGTAAACAGTCTCACTGTGGGCCACAAAGGACTGTTCCGTGTTGATCCGCTTTGCTGCGAATGGTTTCTCGATGGAATCACCCTCAGACTTGCCAGTGGGCTTCAGTTCAGATTTGAGAATGACCTTGCGGTTTCTACTCATTGTTCCCAGTGGTATTTGCATCACTCATAGTTTGAAGAGGACTGACTGTCATTCTTCGGGGGCGTCCGCGCCGCTGTTTAAATGGCAGGGGGCAGTGGTTCTGAACCAGAGCGGGTGCGGCAGAAGCGCCCATGGAGCCTTTCGTAAAAATCACTTGATCGAGATGTAATTCACACACCATGTAATATACCCATTCTAAGGGCACAAGTGGATGGTTTTGGGGACATTCGCAGAGTTGTGCAAACATCACCGCGTGTTTCAGAGCACTTTAGTCACTGCCCCGAAGAGACCCGGTGCCTACGTCAGCACTCACTTCCCACTTCCCCTTGAATCTCTCAACACCCCCCTCCCCTCCGTCCTACACACACTTTCTGACTCTATAGATTTGCCTATTCTGGGCATCTTATCTAAGTGGCATCACACGACATGTGGTCCTTTGTGGATGGATTTTTCACTTCGCGTGGCATTTTGAGTTCTCCAGCACGTGTCGGTACTTCATCACCTATGGGGCTTTAGAATACAGTTGCCCGAATCTCACTCCTGGAGATGCTGATTTAATAGGCCTGGGACGAGGCCTGGGTCTCTGCAGGCCATGCCATCCGGAATGGAGAACCCCAGCTGTCCCGGGACGAGGGCTTTAGAACAGGCAGGTGTCCGCACGCCGGCTCCACCACCTCTTAGGCGTATAAACTTGGAGAACTTTCTAAATGCTCCGAACCTCCGTTTCTCCTCCTGGAAAACGGGGTAACGATATGTACGTAGCTCCCGTGCCTATT